TTCTATCATACAAATGTTTACTGCCTTTACTTCAGGTGAGAATACTGCTCAGAAAGTCTGCTCGATTTTTTTTTTTATGTTATAGGGGGCATACGAGCAGACGGCTCACCTGATGGTAAGTGATTACCGTCGCCCATGAACACTTGCAACATCAGGAGTATCACAAATGCAATGCCGGCCTTTAAGGAAGGAGTACGCTCTTTTTTTGAAGGTTTTTGGGTCGTATTGGTCCGGAAACACTGCTGGCGACAATATATTCCACTGTCGTACGTGGTAAAAAATTTCGACAAAAACGAACGGTTGTGGATAGCCACGCATCAAGATGATGGGGATGAAATTTTTGTCGTGATGTACGATGGCGAAATGCAGCAGCTGGAATTAATCCGAACAATTCCTCAGAACACTCCCCGTGATAAATGCGATAGAAGATGCAGAGCGAAGCTACATCCCTACGGAAACCCAAAGGATCAAGCTGATAGGAAAGGTCCTGGTCGTCGACGATTCGAGCCGCTCGGCGCTGGATGCGATCTAAAGGGAGAAGCTGATACTGGGGTGCCCCTGCCCAAAGATGAGAGCAGTACTCCATGTGAGGCCGAACCTGTGCCTTATAAAGTTGCAGTCGGTGGGCCGGTGTGAAGTACATTCTCGATCTATTGAGCACACCAAGCTTCTTCGAGGCCAATTTGGCCTTGCCCTATGATGATCCCGGAACTGGACGTCGCTCGATATGTCAACGCCAAGAATTCCAATACTAGCTGAGGCAGTTAGAGGAGTGTTCTGAAAAAGAGGAGATACGATAAATGGTAATTTTTTTGCGGTGAACGCGCATACTTGTGTCTTCGTAGGGTTAAATTGGACTAGATTAATTCGACCCCAATTCATTACTTGGTTTCACAAAGTTTCGACTTCAGACACAAGTTTGTTCCGGCACTCGATGACGTTTTCCCGTGATATATTGTACCCGTGCTGTCGTCTGCATAACAATGAATGCCATCAATTTGAAGCATATCATTGATATGAAGAAGAAAGAGCGTAGGTGATAGCACACAGCCTTGCGGAACACCAGCGTTTACGGATTTGGAGTCCGAGCATGCACCGTCGACTGCGACCTTGATGCTCCTGTCCGCAAGAAAACTAGTGATCCAAACGCACAGCTTTTCAGGAAGCCCATAAGAAGGAAGCTTCGAAAGAAGCGCTTTGTGCCAAACCCGATCGAAGGCCTTCGCGATATCCAGACCGACCGCCAATGCTTCCCCCTTGGTCTCGATCGCCTTTGCCCAACGATGAGTCAGGTATACTAGTAGATCACCAGCCGAGCGACTCTGACGGAAACCGTACTGGTGGTCACTGATCAGCTGGTGGTCCTCTAGGTACCGCAGGAGCTGGCAATTTATAATGGACTCTATTATCTTGGAGAGCAAGCAGGTGATGGCTATAGGCCTTTAATTAGTAGGGAGTGAGCGGTCGCCTTTTTTTAGGAATCGGGTGCACTAAAGCTGTCTTCCATGAGTTCGGAACGACACCTAAAGAGTAGGAGAGCCGGAAAAGACGCGTTAGTACCGGAGCCAACTCAGGAGCACACGTCTTCAGCACAATTGGTGAGATTCCATCAGGCCCACTCGACTTGTGTATGACTAGGGAAAAGAGTGCATTAAGCACTAAGCTTTGTGTGAACAGGATCTCTGGCATAGAACTCTCACACCGCGGGATGGTCGGCGGTACGTATCCCCTGTCATTTAGAGTCGAGTTAGACGCAAAGAGTGAGCATAAAAGATCCGCTTTCTCTTTTGCAGTATGGGCCATCGATTCGTCGCCATTGTGCAGGGGTGGAAGGGATGGCTTACAGAAATTTCCTTCAACAGCCTTGGCAAGAGACCAAAACGCGCGGGTTCCAGAGGGAAGTTTTATTAATCTCTCGCCAATGCTGCTAATGTGCTCTGACTTCGCTCTGGCAATTACTCTTTTGCAGGACCTGGAGACCAAGTTATACCTCTTTTTGAGATCGCTAGTGTTGTTATCCACGACCGCCGCTGCATTTGCCCAGGTCTGATAACACATCTGTTTTTGGCGAGATGCCAGTTTACATTTGTGACCAAACCAAGGCTGGGATTTGCCACCAATGGGAACCACAGAGGAAGGAACAAAAAGTTCCATACCCTGAAGGACAACATCGGCGACAGAATCGGCAGCGACGTTGGGATCATTCTGCGAGAAGCAAACCTGGCCCCAAGGGTAGGATGAAAAGAAAGTGCGCATCCCATCCCAGTCTGCTGACTTATAGTGCCACACACGACGACAGCCAGCAAATTGCGGCCGCGGTGAGTAAGTGAGTGGCACCATACTCCGGATTAGACAATGGTCCGAGGAGCCAAGAGGGGCATCTATGGACACTTTGTAATTATCCGGATGTGAAGTCAGCAGAAGGTCCAACAGTGAAGGTGTATGGTCTTCGACATCTGGGATTCGCGTAGGCGAGGTGACCAGTTGTGTCAGACCATAGGCCAAGGCGAAGTCGTGAGCAGATCTGCCTGCATAATCGGTAGTGGGCGATCCAAGCCATTCGGAGTGGTGGGCATTGAAATCACCAAGGATCACAATTTCGGATGATGGGATCTGCCGAAGCACGGAGTCTGTAGCCACCTGGACGTGATCATAGAGTCGGTCAATTTCAGCATTTCCGCTATGGGACCTGTAGAAGCAGGCGTAGACGCGGGGATGGTCATTGACGTCTACACGCAACCATAAGATGGAGAGGTCCCTACCTTCAAAGTTGCTGAGGCGACAGAAACTGATACCCTCTTTAACGTACACACATACCCCAGCCCGTGGTACAAAGGAATTTTCCAAAGTATACCCAGGGTACTGGAGGTAGGAGGTGTCGGCTGGAGAGGATATCTGCGTCTCAGTCAAAAAAAGCAAGGCCGGCTGCACTGTCTGAAGGTGGTAGTGAACAGCATTAAGGTTGGAGTGTAAACCCCTGATGTTGCAGAAATCCACGTTAAACGTGGCAGGGGGTGTCGTATGACGCTTGCTCTGGCCTCGAGCACTTTTAGTATTGAGCGCGGTTTCGCCCTCCCCAGGAAACAGTTCTGAGCATGGACGTCCAGAGGGGGATTCTCCAGCGTGAAAACAGCTGGTACCCCCCCTGGGGTATTATCCTATTTAACTGCGCCATCATGAGGAAAAAGGGGGGGGGGTTGGGCCTCCGGTAGCCTCACTCACTCGGCGAAACACAGCACAAAGTACTGCTTCACGCCGGTATTCTGTGAGGTCGTGGTATTCCTCCGGTCGAGCCGGCCCATTCATGCAGTAGCCTAAGCTACTGTGTGGCTCTCCCACGATAAATTACCACGCATAATTATTGTTTGATAATAATCCGTCATAACACTAATAACTAACTATTTGATTTCATTTAGTCGCTTGCGTCAAAATCGAAACGGAGCACCTAACTTTCATTCAGTTGAACCACGCCAAACTGCGTTCGAAGAGTATAATTACATGATGCAATTAACACCGAAGGAAATGCAGCTAATGATGGTCAATTGACCGTTCTCCCTGGGACGTGGGCTCTGTGGTAGACTGCGTCGTTATGAACATGAGCAAGATGCAATGATATAAATGTTCGCCTTTACGGTGGGTGGGCCAGATCTATTAATTACTTCGCGGCTTATTATTTGAATATGGAATCCGTAAAACTGTGAAGAAATTTTTAATATCATTGAATTTGGCAACTGCTCGTGTGAAATCTGTCATTGGGGTGGCGGAAGCTTCTGGAATAACGGCCATAATATTAAAAATCCAGCCAAGTGCGTGTCGTGCCACGCGCAGTGTAGAGTTCCATAGTTGTCCTGTAGTTATCACAATATATTTGAGCATGAGTCTTTTTTTCTTTGGAAAAACCAATTAATATCAATCTATGTATCTCAACTAAAATACCTAAATCAAACTCAAACTGCGTCTCAAACTCAATCAATTTGATATTATTATTATTTTAAATACGAATGATAAACAGCGTTTTTTTTTTGTTTCCTCTCATGCGGGGGAGCAAGTGTGGCATCCTCATAGATACCCTACAGCCGGCTTCAAGGTTAAACTAAAACTCACCCGTGTTTATGAGCAGAAGGGCCTTACAAGCTTCATCTGAAATGATCATCCCTTGAAAAGGGCATGATGCGATTTAACCGCCGATCTTTTCAAGTGCATATATACTTTTTATAAAAAAGTAATGTTAGCGCGACTCAGAAGCCGTTGCCGTTTGCATTTATTCTTGAAAAATTTTTTTGGGCTGGGCCCAGTGAGGATTAGTCCCAGTGTTGAATGGAATGGGCCCAGTGTGGAATGGAATGGGCCCAGTGCCGAGTGGGCCCAGTGTGGAAGTGTCAAAGTGCGGGATGAGCCCAGTACGGACACTCCCGGTCCATCGCATACGCTCCCGGTCACTAAACAAAACTTTAAACCAAGTCCACAATCACCGCCGCCATTGGTCGCCCACCTCGCTGCCCATCTAGCTACCCGCTCAGCTACCTGGCTAGGTGCCTAGCTTGTTGTCTAGGTAGGTGCCTAACCTACACCCACCTCGTCTCCATCCGCCAAACAGTACGAAAAGGAACTGCGTTCAAAAATAAAGTACTAAGACAACATGAAAGTTATGAAGCATTTAATTTAAATGCGACCGTACAACTTAAAGTTAAAGTAGGTAATACATACATAACCAATTTATAGGTACTTTGGTAGTCTGGTAGCGACTCAAGGAATACCATAGAAGTGCTAAAACTATTAAGGAACTCTTACATTACCGTTAGTAATAAGTTGACTGATGGCGAAGAACGTTCTGTTTATAGATAACCAGTTTTTAATAACTACATTTGAAAATACGTACCTATATAAAGTTTTGTTTAACGTATTCGCTCAATTGCAGGCTCAAAAACTTTAATAGATTACTTTTATTATTAATCTAAATAATATAAAAAGCAGTGTTACAATAAATAATGGATTGCCTTTAAAAAATGAAGCGCAAATTACTTTTATTTAAAAACCAAAGATTAGAAAGTATTTAATCATAAATTATTGCACTAATCAAAGTCACTAGTGATTTGAAAGAGATAGGCTGTCAAAGATAAATCTGATATGAAGTCATACTAATGAAGAATTGGCTGTATGAATTCCATCCAAGGCCGTTAAACTTAAAAAAAAAAGGAGATAGGATTCACATTCAGAACATACTATGTGAAATTTCAACAAGAAATGACTAATTTAATATTAAGATTCAGTGCTATCAAAACTAAATTCTTTGCACTGACTGTGTTCGCCCTATCTCTGTATATTCTGTTTATATATTTACTAAGTGAAAAATTTTATTTTGCTAACAAAAAGTTGCCACTTTCATCGGTGGAATTACCCAATGTTGTTGTGCATATCGATTTGAAGGGGACACCGCTGAAGCTGACTTATTTGGAGTCACTTTTTCCTTTGATGAGAAGGTATGGGGTAAATGGCCTTCTCATGGAATATGAAGATATGTTCCCATATGAAGGTAATTTAGCCAACTTGAGTGCCGAATACTGTTACAGCAGAGTTGAGGTGAGCTATTCCACTATATGCTTATTTGAGTAATGTTATTTACGAGATTGCTACCATGTGCCTTGCTTTTAGTCGTGTAGCGATCAGATACTGTGAGTGTTGTGTGTCGAGAACAGTTTCGAGTGAATAGTGAGAACGTGAACAGTGGTACGCAATAAAGGATTTTGTCGGAAGGTAGACCGATATGTCGCCTCCGATTCCTCCCACACAGGCCACAAACACCAACACTACACAGCTAGCATACTTGCACACAAGCTAAGCATTAGGCAGACACCGCACCCGTACGATAAGAGTGCGAAGAGCTGGGCGTTTTTCCCTGCCACTCACGACAACAGCTAACTAGAGCCGAGGTCCGAGTCTCAGAGACGCCCTCTAGTTGAGCCGACCCCCTCAGGTTCGAGTGGTCTAGGGGCTCCAGACAGAGAGGAGAACCCCCCGTGGGGAGATGCCATCCCCCTGGAATACCTCTAGAGGCACTCGCCAATTCTCAGCTTGAGGTCCCCTTAGGATCACGCCGTCCCCAAACCCGGTGACGCTGTAAAGGTCATCAACAACTAACAGCATATACACTCAACAAAAATAACAAAGACCGATATGTCTGCGAATAACATCCTACCCGCAATTAATTTAGTTACTCCGTGATCATGACGCTTGGAACAGTGCCGAAATATTGGAGACTTGCTAAAAACGAGGTACATGGTAGCAATTGCTACCATGTACCTCGTAAATCGTATCCTGTAAATAACATCATTTACTATAATGCTAGTGACCATGAAAGTTTACAACAATATGCTTATTTTAAGACTTATGGGGCCAGGGGGCCTTTTGTCTAACGGGATTGCTATGGTTATAGCTATAGCTTATGATTTCATTTTGTTATTTTTGTGAGGCATTTGAAAACCTCAAATGCCTCACACTGTTTTTTTTTCGTTTTGCATTGGTAATAACAATATTAAAGAAAATGAGCGTGAGGTATTTGAAAGCATTCGGCGATCAGAAATAACAAAATAATATAAGCTATAGCTATAGCCATATCCAAAAGCCAATCCCGATAAGCGATAGGCCCCCAGCCTGGAGACAAACCAGCACACTTAACTATTCAGTGAAATGCCGTATATTGATCTGTTAATTTCTTTTCAAGTACTCATTTTTAAAGCTGTATGCTAGAACTATATAGACTGTGGTTAAAAAAATCTTTGCATTAGAGTTAACCACAACCTTGATAAAAATATATAGTCAAATTAGATACTTTTAAAAGTATACTAAACTCAAAAAAAAAAGAAATTTTGGACAGCTCACAAGAGAAATTTAGCCTCAAACTAAACAGAGAAAATATCTTTTAGGCCCACTTTCACCAGTCTTTATTAAAATTTAAAAACTATTTTTTACGCCTTGTTCTATTTCAGCAAATAACAAAGATGTTTAAAGGAGTAATATGTTTATTTAGGGTTCAAATTAAAACCATCATCATCATCAGCTTTTAATGTCCCTACTGCTGGGGCACAAGCCTTGCCTATGGACGGAATAGGGAGATTGATCCATGACCCACCACGTGGACCCAGTGCGGATTGGTGGGTGCTGACGACTGCAGATGCAGCTGGGACTTTGGCCCCTGGCTTAACGTGCCTTCCGAAACACGGAGGAGCTAGAGATAGTAAATTTTTGGCCACCCATCCAATGACCGACCACTGCGAAATTTGCTTAACTTCAAAGATCGCAGCCGAACGCGCTAACCACTTGCACCATCGAGCTCCTTTAACGGAGAACTATAGTTATTTATGGTTCAAATTAAATCCATATAAAAAGTAAAATTATATTTCTATTAGAAAACGCGTGTAAAAACAGTGCTGTTAACAAGTTACTATATTAAATTCGTGACCCCCACGTGATGTCACAGTAACTACTCACATTAAAGATGCAATAATGTGATAAACAAAAATGAAGCCTTAATTTGAATTAAGAACTTTTACTCAAAAAATGCCCCTGACGGATGTAGAATTCAGGAACTTTGTTGTAGAAGGCACGAGCCATGCCATTCCACCAACCGGTAGCCCAATAGAATGCCAGCCATGTACTCAAATAGATGCTTATTGTGCTGCTTGCATCTATTATATCTTGTCTCTTAGCTTACCATTCAACTTACCAAAAGGTAAAAAACTTTCAAAAGGTTTTCCTATTTAGGTACAATTCCGCAATGGGCTACAGACTGCAACCGCAGGCGACACTGCGGCTAGTGCCTATGGCTGACCGCAGTGCTGCCTGCGGTCGATACAGCTTCTATTCCGAGAGCGGCGACATGCCGCGACTGCACAATGCATATAACCATGCTTTAGTCACTCTATTACCTTCGTGCGAAACACAATGTCGGACAACTCCCGATAATTTACTAATGTGTCTTTTGTTAAAAGAGGAAGATGATGAAGACTTGTTGTTACTATATTATGCCAAAAAAAAATTAATGCATCTGATCTTTTATTTAAAAGTCAAACCGAAGAAGTAACTTATTCTAATCAGATTAAAAAACATATAATTGGTGCAGAGGAAGGGCATATCTTTGGTGTGACCTCTCTGCGATTTTCGACACCACTGGAACTGCAGTCTGCGGTCGCCGCACGCCGAAGCCTCGGCTGCAGATTCAGAGAAATCAATTTCTTAGAGATTGGAGTTTGGACTTTATCACCACTTTACATCAGGTGGGGTAGATTCATTTGCCTACCTAGCTATAAAAAAAAACACATAAACTAGGAGTGTCGCCTGCGGCTTGCGGACTGCGGTTCAGTCGGACTTGTACCTTTAGTCTAATTTTATACGCATACATAATCATAATTTAAAAAAGTGACATTAAATAGACCTAAAACTGTAGCTGTAATTAAAATACTAATAAATGAAAGATAAAGCAAATAATTTAGGTTGAAATGTGAAATTTTGTAATCAGTCTCTTTACACCGGCCATCTTGACTCTTGGCAAAAGGTTTTAGAAAAATTAATTTATGTGTTTATGTTTAAATGACCTAGTTGCGTGATCTTAGTCTTTGTAGTTAAAGTAGGCATAATACTATTATTGAGTGAAGAGAGACCCTTCGAATAATTTGTGGCCCCCAAAAGACATATTACATAAACCTTTATGACCCTATTTAGTACCTTATATCTTCAGCCATAAATTCGTGACTTGACAAGATTTTTATCGCCCTTGCGTATAATGTTTATGCTTTATTATTTATGTTGTTGTATGGTGTTAAATACAAAAAGGAAACATGCATTTTGCCTAGTTTGGCTTCCGGATCTTCTGTGACACCACCATTATATTTACGAACCGATAAGATGACTTAGATCGTAAAGTAAATTTTAAAGATCTAATTATACACTCACTTAGAGTAAAGCACAACTTACCTGTACTTAATCTGTGGATTAAGGCCTCCAACTAGTATTTACTTGATTTCATCAAAATATATAGTCGTTGAACTCAGGTGTAAGAAATATACTAATAGTAGGCTTCGTTCACCTGATGAGGTGAACTAGAATCTTTAGGTCTACTGTAGGCAAAAGTTTCCGGACTATATCGAAAATAATAAGATCCTGATCACCCGTTAATTATGAAACATAATTGAGCGTGTCAACTTTTAGTTTCAAGAAATTTATAAAATAGGCTAATAAATATTCCGAAGTTTAATATAAATCTCGGCAACTGCCGCCTGAATGAGTTAATATTAAAATAAAGAACTTCTCATTTAATTATGTGATTTTTGTTCCAGCTCAAGAAATTTCTTCGTAAAGCCAAACAGTCAGGCTTTGAGATTATTCCACTGATACAGACTTTTGGACACTTAGAATATGCTTTGAAACTAGCTGAATTCCAACATTTGAGGGAAGATCCATTGTATCCAGATTCCATCTGCCCTAGTAAAATAGAGAGCTTACTCTTTCTAGAGGAATTAATTAAACAAGTAAGTTGCAATTGTTATATACATACCATACAGCCTCAATAACCCATATCACTATAATTTGATTGCCCTATGAACACGAAGTATTATTATTGTCCTTAGTATGTATGTAAGGTGTACAATTCGAGCGCTTCTTCCATAAGTCCTTATTACCTTTCTTAAAAATTAATGATGGAATTGATGGAAGTCCTGTGCAATATAAGTCCTGTGCTATGTAAGATCAATGACCTTATAATTTGATCAATGTACATTCTCCAGGGGAGGAAGAGTCCTGGTGCTCTGAGATACAGGCGTTCTGCCTAGTTCAGGCACCAGTCTCTCACAATCTATTTACTGTTTTTATATAAGAATTAAAGTATAATAAGTTGTCATGGAATTTGTAGATTGTGGAAGAAGAAATAAAGATTATTATTATTAATATACATATTGAATGACTCCGGATGAAACTTTATATGTATTAGCTACTTTTATGGTCAGACACGTCAGATATACATTTTTTGTTTTTAATTTCACAGATAATATGTTTCCACGAGACTGTTACTGCATTGAATTTTGTCCACATCGGTTGCGATGAAGTTTTTCATTTAAACCAATGCCAACAATGCAAAGAGAGATTGGGGATTATAAACAACCAGTGAGTATGTTAATTTTTTACAAAAATTATAAATACGAACATTATTTATTCCAAATCATTAAATATTTTTACCTTGAGAATAACAATCTGATTAAGCAGTTGCTGACACCTTCAGCTTTAAGTCCATCACTGACATTAATTAGTGATTGTAATGACGATTTATATCTTTAGTTGTGATACTATTAATATTGTTAACATAAATTGCTTTTAAGAGTACATTAGGATCCGTTCCGCAAATTACGAATTTAACCCAACCTTTAATATATTTGTTTCTTAGGTTTTCACGCACATCACTCATTAAATAAAACAGTTTTTACGGGATATATGCACTGAATTTATTTATTTATTGACGTTTCGCATCCTTTTCAGGAATGCGTCGTCAGAATAATGATTACTATAGTAATATTACTTTGTCGAGTTACCTTCGAAAGACTTTTATTGAGCGTTCGGATATTTCACTGGAAGATTTTTAAAACTTTATTGTCTGTGCTTGAATTTATTAGATAATTTAATTAATAAAACTAATGTTCATAATTATTTTTTATAATTTTGAGTATTTTTATTTGACCCCAACTAACGTAAACTACCACCGGTTCTAAAATTGGGAGACCTTTCTGAAAAGAACCGGCGAAACACACTCAGAGAGGCTTTCTATCGCCCTCTTATGTTAAATCATGCAAACAAAAAGAACTAACAGTGTAAAGGATGCGAAACGTCAATAAATAAATAAATTCAGTGCATATAACCTTTAATGTTCTATCCAAATCACGTTTTTAATGTCTCCAATTCAATGTTCAACAATAATATTCTTCTGGCAAACTAACTACATATTAACAAAAATAATTATGCTCCTAGTCTAAATAAAACAGAGCAACGTCCCATTTACGAAGTTATGTCAGTTTTATAACGCCATTAAAGTCTTTATTCTCACATTCGCAGAGATCTGTTGCTACAACATGTACGGTTTATATCCGAAGTCGTGAACTCCTTGAGTGCGAAAACGACAATTCTCATCTGGGATGACATGCTGAGGGATATAAAGGCCTACGTATGGTTAAATATCGAGCCGTTCAACAACGTACACCCAGTGTATTGGGACTATGGATCGACACTGCGAGTGACGCATAAAAACCTTTATGCTTACCATAAGAATTTTCCTCACATTTGGATCGCGTCCGCTTATAAAGGTGCCGACGGCAGGATCAGTACAATGATGAACGTCAGAGAACGATTTCTCAACAATTTTCGTTGGATGCGGTACATCCTTGACTACAAATTCGGTGGTGAAGCTTCCTACACGTTTAATGGGATTATTCTCACTGGCTGGTCCAGATACAGTCATATGGATCCCCCGTGCGAACTACTTCCCGTCTCGATTCCAAGCCTCGTCCTAAATTTATTGGTCATTCAGAATTTCAAATCAGGCTTTAGTGGCGCTGGAATTAATAATGAGCGCGTTGTTGTTGAAAATTTCTTTCGCGAGCACATAAATGTCGAGTTGAACAAAAGCTTTAAATGTCTAACTAACTATGATAATCTAGACTTCAGTGTATGCAAATTCGAGGGGCAAGAGCTTTATAAAATTATGATACAATATATTTTAATGAAAAAAGAAATTTCTAAAGAATTAAGTAGCGAAACCAATGCCATTGCTACTTTAGAATATTATTCAGAACAAGGATCTATAAACATGAACAACGTACTCGAAATAAAGGAATATTTAGTGACAAAACTTGACTATTTAAAAAATTTAGAAAATCTATTGGTCAAAGAAATATCAAAATATTATCACTACGATTTTGCAAAGGAATATACCAAATATAAAAGCTTTCAAACTAAGAATAAATTGACTAAATTATTAAATATTTTAAATAATTACATGCAAAAAAGAATATGGAACAGAAGAACCGTATCGAAAATATCAAATGTCTCAACTCAAGGTTTATTGTAATAAATTGCATTTACACTAGTTTTTTTTTGTGTAAGCCATAAAATCAGACATCATAGGCTATCGTAAGCCCTATGACTAACCCGAGGCATTCGACAGCCTGTCAAAAATAAGTTGTTAATCTTTATATCTTTGGGCGCATAATACTTAGTAGTTTCCGAAACTTAGTCTTATGTCAAACTTAAAAGCTAATCATGTTTAAACCTCATTATATATCTATTACACTTGCGCTTAACAACTTAACCTTAACTAGCCTCAACTTCATTTATAATACGATTTAAAATACGACTTTAAAAAATACTACTAAATGCACAATTATGAACACAATTAAAATATTTTCTCGGCATATTACCCTGCAAGTATTTATGTGGGCCTTTATAACAAGCACCTAATTTACTATAAGTCATGAACCTAGCAGAGTGCATCGACTTTTACAATGACTAACACCAAGATGCTCAACCGAAATTTTACTGATTAATATTTTATGAAAAAGCAAATATGTAACTTATACCATGCATACGCGTTTCTACAATTTTTTTCTAAAAGGATTATTGAATATCAGTATTTTATGTAGGTATATGTACAACCTCCACGCAAATACTTTACGATGTTATATCAACTTTTTCGCTTAACCGAACCACCAAACTTTTAAAATACCGCTCTTGCAGTCCAAAATTAATTTGTAATAAAATATTTTCGCCCTTAACTGAAAGTTTTGAAATATGCAAACGAAAAACTTAATAATCGCAAATTTTTCATAAAATAATATAGGTGAGGACCAATTTTTGGAATTATTAAAATTATTTATCAAAATAAATACATCAAAATATTATCAATTTATTTGTGAATAAAATCAAAGAACAAATCAACATAATTATGTGAAAAAAAATCAGAACTGTCAAGTTCCTCTGCACGTATTTTAAATTTTAAAATTGTTCATAACCCATAATTGGAAAAAAGGACCATATTTTACCAGCCCAAATTTTTCTTTACGACCCCGCTTGTGGGCAAGCTGTTTACAGTATATTTATGTGGACTTTTTGTACATAAAATCAGCTGTTTTGTTACTAAGGACACCTTGGACAGCCGCGCCTGGTGCTTGGTATCCGCTATTACTTAGCCCATAGGAGGCTTGAATTTCTCCGGCGGCCTGGCAACCTTGACGGATGAGTTTGTTTAGTCTAGACAATTACATTGTCATTTGAAGTTAGTTTGTTGTATTTTTATATAATTCATGTTTGTTTTTTATGCCTTTTTTAGTTTTAATAGTTTAGTGTAATATTAATTTATTGGTCTTTACGCTCTTTCTGATTGCATGTCGGCAAATTCCGTCCCTGGCAGTGACAGCGCGTACAATTAATAAAATGTCCTAAGTGTTCACAACCCTGGTTTCTTAAAGGTAACCGGGGGTAATATACACGCTGGCAGCGGCACATATACTCCTGCTTCTTTGCCAGCAGTTTCTCCATCTCTAAATTCGGGCAACCAACCACTTTGGCAAACTATTGGTAATTTTAAAAATGCCCTTTCCGTTCTAAAAAGAACCCCTCGTTCTGCAAGGCCCTCAGTCGCTGTTTCTTTATCACAATGTATCGAACATGTGCTAAGAGCAAACACGTCCAAGAGGTGGGCAGAACTCCTAATAATTTCCTACACAATTTTACATAAGTATTAATCAAAATAGTACTTGTTCTTCACTCACACAAAAAATAAAGGAGAATTGTCGCCTAAATCCTTCTGTTCATTCTTTAGTCATTCCTGCCTCTCGGCCTCGAATTCAGCAGTTCTCCCAAAAAAATGTTAAAAATCATTCCTCACATGCTGGTCGAGTCTCCTGGCACGCCTGCAGCAATGACGTCATCCGCAGGACTCTTGTCGTTGTCTATGTGCCAGCGGTTATAGAGCCTAGTGGCATCTTCTGTGACGATGGCAAGAGACCTTACGGAAAGATGATCATTCCTTGGAAGCAGGGTCGTCCTCTTGTATGGGATGCAACTTGCGTGGATACGCGTGCTCCGTGCCATACAGGTAGTACCTCCCTAGCTGCAGGCACAACGGCGGCCTCTGCTAAGTGCTACAAGCGGTGCTAATATTCAGCTCTCAATGTGAGCTACATATTTGTGCCGTTTAGTGTTAAGACTATGGGATCACGGGGCCCAAGCGCTCGTTACTTCTTTAAGGAATTATCTAAGAAACTCACTAAGGTAACTGGTGATCAAAATGCTGGTACCTAGCATATATACCTAGTCAGATCATAAATTCTGTTACATGTTTAATATAAAATAATTGAAACAAGTTTATTCATTATGTAACCATTTATATACCAAAATGAACTTAACAAAACATAGATTCTTATGACGATAAAGTTTATTCAAAATGACCTCCGTGATTTTGAATACAGGCCTTCAATCTGCGCGGCCAGTCGTCTATCACAACACGAACTATCAAGGATGTCTTGAGTGACTCCTAATTGGGATGAGGCTTTGAGCACGCCTTTTCCTCCAAGTGTTGCCATATCTTGTAATCTAACGGACTCAAATCTGGACTGGAGGAGGACCGGTCTTCGTGCCGGATGAAGTCGATTTCACAGCCAGTCTTGTGTGCTCTTCGCTCTATGAGCTGGCGCCGAATCTTGTTGGAATACCCAGTGCCAGTTATTGAACATGGTATGAGAAACAGGTTCCACAAGGTTCGTCAGGACTGTATTTTGATACACAACTACATTTTTACACCTTTCTCACAAAGATGTACCTCTGTTAAGCCCCAATAAGATACTCCCAACCATACCATGAGCGAGGATGGAAAATGTCCTCGTTGGACACGCGGAATACGGTTGCTCGCTTCTTCACTACTGTGTGCGTACACCTTATCATTTTGTTGGTTGGAGCTCTCTTCTACGGTAAATTTTTTTCATCCGAAAAAAGAATTTCCCTATATTTTTTTCCCGCGTACCGCTTCAACAAAGCGCTACATCTCTTCAGTCTCAGGTCCATTAGACGAGCATTCAAACGATGTCCTGTTTTTCTTCGATATGCCCGAAGCCCTCATTTAACACCCTTTTCACCGTGGTTCTGCTTAACCCCATATGAAGGGCCAACAGTCTCTGTTTACGTTTGGGATATTTTGAATTCGCGACTTCACAGCTTTTATCACTGCTGGAGTTCTAACAGACCGAGGGCGACCACTTCTTGGCCTGTCATCTAGACTAGAGTCTTTATTGTATCGTTTGATGGTACAATAAACAATTCTTTTGGTTATATTCAAAATTTTCAGTATGTCAAAAATTTGAATTGGCGCGTAACCAACGATGCAACGCAATAACTGCAACACGGTCTTCTTTAAGCGTCCACTCCATATTTAAAAATGAGTAAAACTCAAAAAAGTTCACATTTTTATTTTCATGAACAATTCGAATACGAATTCAATAAACTTTATTGTGGCCAGCATTCTAAAAGAATAGTTTTTACTGTGTGACAAATACTTATGACCTGACTGTGTACATAGCTACCTTGGTCAACCGATCAGCCTTGCTATCCAAAGAGGAAATGCTGCCAGCCTATTATGCACCATTCCTGCCGGCGGCACTGGGAGTGATATATTTCTTATTTTGTAAATTTATTTTAATTTAAGTAGGTAAGTTTTAAGATAATTATAATTTTAAGTTTTTATACATTAAGTGGTTTAAAGCTTTTGTAATATAAATATTTCTATGTAAAAAAACAATTAATATAATAAAGGGGACATATTTAAGAAAACAATCGTTTTACAAATACCGCTACAATTGGCCTTTTTAGGAACATAGGTATATTTCATAGCCCGTTATAAAAACATAATGAATAAACTCTATGAAAATGAGAGTTTGAGTTCGAGGGTAGAGAATGCTCGGTTGTGGCTCAGTTTTATAATTCGAAATATAAGAGATTTCCAGCATTCAGTTAAAAAATACACTTTTTTTTAGTAGCTTAGTTCGCAGTTACCTCGAATATAGATCGACAATTTAGCGGCCATACTACGCTACACATATATTAACAATAGAGAGAATACAAAAACATTTTTGTGGAACTTAGCATATGCTGAAGGAGCAGCCAAAAGGTTAAGATCTTAACTGAAACATTTCAGACTTAGAACATCGCCACAATTTTTTGGACATTTAAAATAAAATTTATTTCTTTAACTTCCCCTACATTGAGATGGACATAAGGTGAAAAAATTATTCACTGTTCATAACTTTTCTGTTAAAGGTAGACGAGACCGAGGTGTTTTGAAACAACATTGATTAGGCCTTATAGAGTCAGGGCGTGTAGAGTTAAAAGCTTAGCTCTATATCAGATCTGATAACTTTTTGACAGAGCGAGTCATAATTATGGCGGCATATGGTCTAGTCTTGGCACCCGGGGGCGTCCCAGTGAAGTGGCGCACACTAAGGTGCGTCGATCCTGAGAAGCCCCCATATGGGCGTAGGAGGGTACCGGAGGGTTTTAGTGGAGTAGGATCAGTGTGGCCTTCCGCACTGGTCCTGCTTGAGTAGGGTCGGCACTGTTTCCCGTGCCGGCGAGTCCCACACACGCCGTGCGTCTAGTCAGCGTCACGGTATGGTGCGTAACTGCATTTCCCCTCGTCACAAAAAACAAATAAAAAGTCTAGTCTTGGCAAATCAAATAAACAAACATTTCAGCTTTATAATATTAGTAAGTATCTAAGTACCGAAAAAAAAATCTGGATTTTTTTTTCATTGAAGGTGAAAATAAAAATGTATATAGGGTTGTAGTCTAAAAACAAAAACCACTAGTGCGGGTCACTAGTAGGTACATAAATATGGGGCATTATACATTCTCGCCATGTATTCGAGTAAACAGCACTAACTATTCCCTATATGTTATTATATGGCGCTCTTTCCGCCTACCCCATCATGAACACGGCGTGGAGATAAATAAATTATGTATTGTGAGGTTACGTACAGCTTAAATATTTATACCTTGCTACCCCTAATATGACTAGTGATATCATTATTTCTTCAATAGCTACAGGATTATAAAACAAACGGGAAGCAATTATTAAAGTTGCTGTACTTGGAAACATCACCAGGCATCGTGGTGTATTCTGGATTCTATATTATGGATTCGGTACAGAGAGCTGTGTATGCGCTCAGTAAGTTATCTTTACCAAAACGTCTCAGTGAGGACTTGATTACGTGGACTCGGTAAAGAATCTGTACAGAAACGGCACGATACCGCCTCGATCCGGTATGAAAGGCGCCTCAATGTCCTGTCGCAGACAGAAGCACTTGTGTTAGGAAAGTCAGAAACAATAAAGGTACCATAAACGCTCAGACTCATAGAATTGTATAATACATTCACACGGCCGATGATCGAACCCCGAAGAAAAACTAGTGGACAAACTACTCAGATACGGAGGTCATCAAATCTACCCTGATTATCATCCCTGTGATTTTAGCCCCTTTCCATCTATTCCTACCTACCTACCGACATATCCCCACTTTAGATTAGGGTTAGGATTGGCGAAGCGCGAGTCATAACATCCCCTCGCCTCGGCTCGATGCCGCAAGCTTAAGCTATGTGTTCACTGATAAACAATGTTTCAGAGACAAAGTTTCTGAAACATTACCTAAATTATTTTTATTTTTTCAGGTATTGTGACATCCATATTAGTAGTCGTTTTATGTCGTCAGAGAAAGTAGTGGCTGCTGCATACATTTATTATATACTGCATAATTATGAATTTTGATTTCGCTATGGTTTTATTAAATTTCTCAAAGTACCTATATACATATTTTTACTTTATTCGTATGTACTTGTTGTTTATCTGAATTGTTTCATTTTCCCAACACCGCTAGGATGATTCGAGCGCTTCTTCCATAAGAAAAACGTAGTGTTTAACTCAAGAAATTGATGTATTTCGGAAACATAATCGAATTGTTTCACTAACAAGTAGTTTCTGAAACTGTGTTTATACACCAATGTTTCCCTGTGAATACATGACTTTATTATAATAATCTACTGTTGTCGACTTTTGAACGCTTATTTGTCAAATCAAAGGGAGATAACCTTTACCTTACAGAAGAGCACAATGATATTACTTGTTAATGGTGTCGTGTTACAGACGAGTAACGTTCCAGGATTCCACGAGTTCAGGTGTGGTTGACTGGAGCGGCACATTTTGCTACTGGACTAAGCACTTGGGTGAGCTCAATGTATCGGCAAGCCCAATTTTCTTTTTTTCTTTTTTATCATCATTAGAGAGATGTACATTACTACAGCGGCCAGAATAAGAGGCCGAACGTGTAAAGAGGCAAACATGTAAATCCATCATTGCCTAGTTATGCAAACCACGTCATATATGGATTTTGCTGGCCGCCGCTTGCATGTACTAGTATTTGGTCAGTACAACGATTGCGACCTTTGTCGAAGAAGTCTGTAAAAATAATGCTCGAATTTCGAACCATGTTTGAGAAATATTAATAAAATATGATCGCGAGCTTCAAAATTCACTGCGACAGTCGTCGTTTTCTAAAAAGACCTGCAATTTACCCGCTCTGCCTGATGTAAACTGTGCTACAGACAACTTGGAAAAAGAAATTCTCTAATCCTGCATTTTAAACAGCTAGGTGGTTTAATGGGACATTGATTTGTATTATAGATTCATAATTATGATGGTTTAATAATTAAAATAGTTATTTTACTCATATATATTAATCTACCTATGTACGGGACGCCGGGCTGTCGCAGTAGCGGACAGTTACCGACTCGTACTGCGGGGTGGAGGAAGTTACACGCAGGAGTCTTCACTGTAATCGACTGTAGTTTCGGCGAATAAAACCCCTGGTGTTCGGTATTGAAGAAATCGGTGGGCGCTGATAATGGATGGCCGGTGAGAGGAGGCTTCAGTTCCAGAGTGAACCGCTTGGTGTTTCTTCCTGTTCCTTAGGGTAGGAGCGCCTGTCGCTGAATGCATGTCGGAGCCTGTTCCGACTCGAATTTTATATGCTAGGACTGAGCTGGCCAGCGATCCATTACCTCACCCCCGCTATATTTTATTTTTCATTTTCTCAAAAATTACATAAGTGCGAGCTTATAACTAATTGTACATACATCGGGCATACAAATAGGCATATTTTTAACACAGTTATGTGTGATAAGCATGTAAGCATGATATTTTAGGTGTGGCGCGCAAAAAATAGGTCTCCGCAATATTTATACTTTCCCACTCCATAGGGCTTCGCCCTGCCACGGGGCTCCGCTGCCCCACCCACGCGCTCCGGGCGCGCCGGGTGGGGAGCGCAACATGTCTTAGAAAACCGTTCTATACAAACAGATTTTGTCTCCTACACGGTACATTTCTACATGTGATGCCTATTTATTTATGTAGTCCTATGCGTTATCTACCTAATATAATAAGTTTCTAATAAGAATATTAAGAAATAACAGCTCTACGGCCCTATAAAGATTACAAATTAAAAAGTCTTAAAAAACCTACTTACATTCACTTAATGTCTAACTATCATATATCATTTTATAGAGGAAGTAAAAACACACAAAACAACGTCATTATCATTACAATTATACCTATATCCTATCGACTATTCGTAAAAAACTATATTTAACTTTTTCCTCAATTATGCCTAAACTATTAATACGCTTTACACAAAACTTTGATATATTACTCTTATAACTACCTATTTCCTAATAAGATATAAAACAAATAAATCGAAACATAAAAACACACTATTTACGAATGCTTACAATTCAGGTAAAATCTTATAAGATGTTAGAAAAGGACAGCCTATAGTCTCTGTCCCTCCTATAGGTCGGAACTATCAATATTCTAACTAGTTTCCCCGCGCCACCGCTTGGCGTCGTGGCGATCGTTTAGAGAAATTCTTATAAGATTGTTGGAGAGAAAGAGACGGAATATCGCTCTGAACAATCAATATCACAATCGTTTACTATGGGCAAAGCTATCTATTATTGCGATATCCGACTCATTCTAATAAGACAACAAGGGAATAATCATTTTTAATGTGTATACAACCGATACATGTGAAATTATAGATACATTTTATAAATCAATCTTGTTTCGACGTAAGATCATTTCTTCTCGTTTCGGTCGTAAGGCGGTCGTCTCGTACAACCTATATAAATAAAAATGAATTGCCATAATGAATATACGCGCATAACTTCTGAACGACTGCGCCAATTGTATAAATATTTTATACTAGTAGCCCGTCCTTGCTTTGCTTCGGTGTAGAGCTGTAGTGTAGACTATAGTTTTTTTTCTCAAGCTTGGCTTGACTTTCTTCATATATTAGGAACCGTCCGTGAAAATTTATTTAACTAATAGTGAACATTTTGTTGCGTGGTTTAGGACACGTTGCAGCTAATGCATCTGCTCTTCTGTCTAAAAAAAGATTGTCCCCCTTAACATTGGCCCTTATTATAAGTCCGCATGCGGCCCTCTTGCCCTTACGATGTGGCCCGGTACAACACCACCGCCATCGCCGAGTTGAGAAAAATACCATAGAATCTTCTTAAATTATAAAACAAATTCAATAAAATAGCATATATTTTCCACTTTTTATTAGAAATTTTGTCATCTAGACTACATATATATTTGCGTTGCGATCGTATTGTGTGCTCAACAGCAATATATTTTTTATGGAATTATGGTACTGTTTATAAGATTTAGATTATGCTTAAGCAGTTTTTCCACAAAAAATAGCTTTCTTACGAACAGAAAATACTACAGAAAAACTTTTTTAACAAAAATAAATACCGACTTCATACCTACAAAACCACTAAAAATTAAGAAATAATAA